GCCAGAGGCAGAGGGTGGGTGAAATGAGTGAAAGGAGCAGGTCAAAGGTACAAACTCCCAGTTATAAAGTAAGTAAGTAAGTCCTGGGGTGTACAGACAGCACGGTGACTGTAGGTAATACCACTGTATTGCATATTTAAAAGTTGCAAGGAGAGCCTGGCCAGCGTGGCTCAGTGTTTGAGTGTCGACCCATGCAACAAGAGGTTGCTGGTTCAATGCCCAGGTTTCGGTCTCGATCCCCAGCAGGGGGTGTGCAGGAGGCAGCCAATCCATGTTGATGTTTCTTTCTCATTGATGTTTCTATCTCTCTTTCCCTCTCCCTTTCTCTCTTTATAAAATCAATGAAAACATATTTAAAAAAATAAAAATAAAAGTTGCGAGGAGAATTGATCTTAAAAGTTCTCATCACAAGAAAAAAATATATTTTGAAACGATGTATAGTGACTGATGTTAACTAAATTTATTGTGATTATTTTACAATATACACTAATATAAATTCATTATGTTGTACACCTGAAACTAGTATAATGTGATATGTCAATTATATTTCAATACAAAAGAAATGGAGAAACATACATTTTATCTCTGGTATCTGGCACATCTCTCTGATTGCCCAAGCTTTTACTGATAATGGTATTAAGTCCATATAGTAAAATCCCATGAAGTAATTCTGGGTCCGAATAGTTAAAATTCTCATCTGTAAGAATAGGTAATTAGAGTCACTAAGTATTGGCTTACTACCATCACTTTGATATAGGGATGACATTGTTTACATATTTTTATTGATTTCAGAGAGGAAGGGAGAGGGAGAGATAGAAACAGCAATGATGAGAGAGAATCATTGATTGGCTGACTCCTGTATGCCCCCTACTGGGGATCGAGCCTGCAATCTGGGCATGTGCCCTTGATTGGAATCGAACCCGGGACCCTTCAGTCCACAGAGCCATCCACTGAGCCAAACCAGCTAGGGCAAAGGGGTGATATTTTTTTAAAAGGGGTGATATTTTTAAGTCTACCTATTAAAATTTATTTTTTATGAAAAACAGAAAGCTACCTAAACAAATATAACAAACTGTATTTAAAAATTGTTAAATTCAGGTGCTAAATGTATACACACCTATTCTATTATTTTTTGTATATAGCATATAAAAATATTTCATAATTTAAAAATTGAATTGGTCTAAAAGGATATTCTCTCTTGCAAATATTAAATATATGACATATTTTCCCCTTAAAATGGCTAACAGAGAAATTCAAAATAGTTACCTAATTTAAAAAATGGACGCCATTCTTTAGTTTGATCTTTGTTAGGTCTTTCAGTTCTTACATGTTGTCCTGGTATTTGCCTTGAGCGTGGTATTTGCCCTGCGCTGTGGATAGCTTGCTGTTGCAACTTTTTATCAAGTTTCCAAATTGATGCAGGCGCCTGCGTTTTCTTCTGCCAGTTGCTCACATGATCACGGTGAAGATGTACATATAACAGAGCTGACAAGATCCCAAGTGTCAAGGTTCCACAGAGTAAACACAGGACTGTGACATTTCGCATTGTAAATCTAGCATTTTTTAGGGTCCATTTTTAAATTTCCTAAAGCAGAAGGATTTGGGAGAAGCTGTATTAGACATTTCAATGGTTTGTAGTCTCATCTACTTGACTTAAATTCCATTTTCAGCATTTTAAAAACAATCATTTTGCTATAGATGCTTATTATGTATTTTGATAAGATAGTATACTTTCTTCTATTATCAGCAACTCCTAAAACTGATATTCATAAGATTACATAACATAAAAATGTGTAAGATGCTTATAAAACGTACAATATAATTAGAAGTCACTGGTCGATACTCCTGAGCATGTAGTTAATAGAAATAATGTGAAAGGTTTACGCATCAGTCCATCTTGGGGTGATAGTATAGGTCTCTATTTTAAAAATCTGATTTAACATCAATCAGACTGTTAAAAACATAAAAATACAATATCACATGCTGTGTGAATACAATATTCATACAATATTCACAACATGGGGAAAATGGACAGTGAAAACTGTGGTACACCCCTGAGGGACGGTGAAACGGTGCAGCTGAGTTGGTAGCACGGAGTTAGGTTGAATCTGTACATGAGGTACACATCCCTAGGAGTGCACCCTGGGGAGACTCTCACGAGACATGCATGAGCAGGATTCTTGAAGTCATGTTTGTAATAGAAACAGGACACAGCTTATGTTTCTCTCTACAGAAGAACTGGTAAAGGGAGGCTGTTCCATCAATACTAGGAATGAACCAACTGCAGCTCTATGGATTAATATTGTGAAATATCAGAAACCAATGTTTTCCAAAAACAAATAGGGTCTGATGCTACCGATATACATTTGCAAAACATGAGAAGCAGTGCAATTGTTTATGGCCACACCATATGCAGCAAATAATGGGGTGGGGTGGGGGGGGCGGGAGTGCACCCAAATATACACAGGTTTAGCATAGTGATTGCTCCCGTGGGGGAGGATCCAGGGGAGGAAAATGAGAGCTCCTAATGCTTAAAAAAGTACACACACACACACACACACACACACACACACACCACACGCACACACACCCCTCTGAGCCCTGTCTAGGTCGCTCAGTTGGTTAGTGCATTGTCCTGATATGCCAAGGTTGCAGGTTCAATTCCGGGTCAGGACACATATACGGATCAACCAATGAATGCATAACTAAGTAGAACAACAAATCGACGTTTCTCTCTCTCCCTCTCTCACTCCAAAAATCAAATAATAAAGCTCTGAAGTGGATGTGTCAAAACAATGAAGTTTGACAAATCTTGGTGAGGTGTACATGGTGTGTGTGGTATTTTTCTCTATATTTCCCTTAGGTTGGAAATACTTCATAATTTATGAGATTAATTATGACTTCTGGCTCTTCTCCCTCGTGTCTCTACTAGGGATGAAAGTAAAGCTAAAGCCCCAGGGCAAAGGAAACTAAGGAGAAAATAACATATGGGACTACATCAAAATAAAAAGCTTCTGCACAGCAAAAGAAGCCATCAACAAAATGAAAAGGGAGCCCACTGTGTGGGAGAACATATTTGGCAATGATCCATCTGATAAAAGGTTAATCTCCGAAATATATAAGGAACTCATGCACCTTAACAAAAGGAAGACAAACAATCCAACTAAAAAATGGGCAGAGGACCTAAATAAACACTTGTCCAAAGTGGACATACAGATGGCCAAGAGACATAAAAAAATGCTCAAAGTCACTGATCATCCGAGAGATGCAAATTAAAATGACAATGAGTATCACCTCACCTGTCAGAATGGCTACCATCAACAAATCAACAAATGACAAGTGCTGGTGAGGATGTGGAGAAAAGGGGCCCCTCGTGCACTGCTGGTGGGAATGCAGACTGGTGCAGCCATTATGCAAAACAGTATGGAGGTTCCTCAAAAAATGAAATATGGAACTGCCATTGACCCAGTGATTCCACTTCTAGGACTATATCCTAAGAAACCTGAAACACCAATAAGAAAGAATGTATGCACCCCTATGGTCATAGCAGCACAATTTACAATAGCTAAGATCTGGAAACAGCCCAAGTGCCCATCAGTAGATAAGTGGATAAAAAAGCTGTGGTACATTTACACCATGGAATACTATGCAGCTGTAAAAAAGAAGAATCTCTTACCCTTTGAGACAGCATGGAGGGAGCTGGAGAGTATCATGCTAAGTGAAATAAGTCAGTCAGAGAAAGACAAGTATCACATGACCACACTCATATGTGGAATCTAAGTAACAAAATAAACCAATGAACAGAGTGGACCCAGAGACATGGAAGCATGGGACAGAGTGCGGAATCGCGGCGGGAAGGTAGGGGAAGGTGGGTGAGTGGGAGGTAATCAACCAAAGACCTTGTATGCTTATATGTGTAACCCATGGACACAGTAGTGGGGTAGTGAAGGTCTGGGGCGGGGGGTGGGTGTGAGCTAGAGGGGGTTAATGGGGGGAAAAAGGGAACAAATGTAATACTTTCAACAATAAAAATTTTAAAAAATATATAAAACTAAAGCCTTGTCCAGGTGGCTCAATTGGTTGGAATGTCATCCCATACACCCAAAGATTGAGGGTTTGATTCCTGGTCAGGGCACGTACCTAGGTTGTGGGTTTGAACCTGTTTGGGGTGCATGTGAGAGGCAACCAATGGATGTTTCTCTCACATCGATGTTTCGCTCTGTCTTTCCCTCTCTCTTCCACTTTCTCTAAAAATCAATGGAAAAATATCCTCGGGTGAGGATTAAAAAAATGAAAATAAAAATAATAGTAAAGCTAAAAACCCTCCTAAGGAAAGAATAGATAAAGGACTGCATGAGATTATAGCACAGGTTTGGAAGACAGAAGGCTATGGACATGTGATAAAGATTTTAGATGGACAGAGGAAATCACTGACAGGACCCTGAGGGGGACCGAGTCCAGCAGATCCCGGAGCAGCTTGGGACGTGGAGGTACAGGCATGTCGGCCGACACATGGAGGGGCGGGTTCAGGAAAGGCCATGAGTTCATGTGCAGAACAGTCCATTCTCCCGCCCTGCCCTGCACAGACCCAGTAGACGGAAGCCTGCAGGGGCTGAGAACTGCAGAAGGCAACCTGGGGCTCAAGACCGTCTGGCCCACATGGCCCTGTTTCCACCGCGCACACAGGGTCCTGGCAGCCAGCTTGCTGTACCCGAGGCAGCAGCTGGGAGAATTATTCCATGGTGAGAAGACAGGCCCCAGAGAAAACCTCCACATGCTGAAACGTGGGGGTGACCCACAGAGCAGCCGACGGCCGTGTGTCACCTCAAGGACAGCACACCTGTGGCCTGGGTCACACAGACACCCAGAGATGCCAATCAGCCGTTAGTATCTCACTTTTCCATGGGAATGGAATGCTGCCACGAGCTGAGTGGTGTCCCCCAAACATCATATGTTGAAATACTAACGCTCACTGACCACATTTGGAGATGGGGTCCCTGAATAAGGTCAGACGGGCGGGCCCTGATCCAATCTGATGGGTGTCCTTATACGAAGACCAGAAGAGACCCAGGGGTGCAAGCACAGAGGGAAGGCCATGGGAGGATGCCGTGAGAAGGTGGCCATCTGCAAGTCAAGGACAGGAGGTGCTGAGAATGAGACTCTAAAGTGGGATTTGGCCCTGGCTGGTGTGGGTCAGTGGTTAGAACACAGGGCCTCGCATCAAAGGGTTGAGGGTTCGATTCCCAGTCAAGGGCACATACCGGGGTTGCAGGTCTGGATGTGTGTGGAGGCAACCAAGCGATATGAGTATGTCACATGAGGTTTTTCACTCTCTCCCTTCTTCCTTTCCTTTCCTCCCTCCCTAAAAAAATCAATGGAAAAAATATCCTCGGGTGAGGATTAACAAAAAAATAAAATTAAATGGGATTTGGGAGCTGGTCACTGCTCAGCTGGCGGCCCCGAGGACCCCATTGCTAGTGGAGAGGTGGCATTCCCATAGCCCTGGAACTCTGTGGCAGGGTCCTCGTTACAACTCAGTGGCGGCCACCAGGATGGAATACTGGTGGGAAGGAATGTTCTGAGAGGCGGGGCAGGGAGCAGCAATAAGTACATGGCCCAGATGGCTGTTGCTTGATGCTGTGGGGGCATTTGAAGAAGGCAATGAAAGGCCGAGTGTGAGGCGTCACCACCAGAGGGCCTCCTGAATGGCATGGGAAGGGACTCAGCCCTACCTCCGGCCGGCAGAGCAGGCAGGGCCGTGCCCAGGGCGTGTGAGTAAGGGCAGCAGAGTCCAGGGAAGGCTGACTTCTCAACCCTGACTCTTCTTCCCGGGGGAGGAAGGAGGCTCGGAGACTCAGGATGGGACGTCTGGGTGGGATCACGTCTGAAACCCCAGACCAGTGGTGGCGAACCTTTTGAGCTCGGCGTGTCAGCATTTTGAAAAACCCTAACTTAACTCTGGTGCCGTGTCACATATAGAAGTTTTTTTGATATTTGCAACCATAGTAAAACAAAGATTTATATTTTTGATATTTATTTTATATATTTAAATGCCATTTAACAAAGAAAAATCAACCAAAAAAATCAACCAAAAATCAACCTCTGACACGCATGTCATAGGTTCGCCATCACTACCCTAGACCCACAGGGACCCTCTGGGCCTACAGAAATGGCCCCTCCTCCCTGTCAGAAGCCAGCTCTCCCCCTCTGCTTGAGGGTGATGGAGAGGCCTCTGCTTTGCAAGGCAACATGTGTCCTCCATGCTCAGGCTCACCCTCCAGGTCCTCGCCTGGGCACCAGCTCAATGACTAGGGTCAAGTGACAACACAGCCTGGCCTGGGATGTGCTGGTCTGCTCAGGGAGCGGAGAGTGTTCCCTGAGGAAGCAGGCAGCTCCGCCAGCCCACCTGGCAGTCAGGGGCTGGGCCTGCGCTGAGGCCTGACCCCCCTGGGTCAAGGGAGGGGATATGAAGTTGGATGAGAGGAAGTTTGCTAATATGGGCGCATTCTTCCAGGACACAGTGTTTAACACCTTGACAAAGATCCT